ACATGGAAAGGGTAAAGAACCATTAAAGATTAACCAGTCCTCTACTAACATTCAGAAGAAAAATGACAAATGTCATTTTTGTGGGAAGTTTGGACATTTTCAAAAGGACTACATAAAGTGTAAAGTTTGGTTCGAAAAGACAGGTGAGCATAGTGCTTACGTATGTTTTGAATAAAATTTAACTGAAGTTCCCCATAATACTTGGTGGATTGATTATGGATGTACGACTCATGTTTTTAATGTGATGCAGGGATTCCTTTCAACCCAAACCATAAACCCAAATGAGAAGTTCGTCTTCATGGGGAATAAAGTCAAGGTTCCAATGGAAGTTGTCGGGACTTATCGTTTAATCATTGACACTGGATATCACTTAGACCTTATGGATACTTTTTATGTATCTAGTATCACTAGAAATTTAGTTTATTTGTCTAAGCTTGATGTTGTTGGATACTCTTTTAAGTTTGGGAATGATTGTTTCAGTTTATTTAAGAGTGCTTGTATGATTGGAACTGGTACACTTTATGATGGTTTATATAAATTGAATTTGTATAATTTACATGCTGAAACTCTCATGACCTTGCATCATAATGTTGACACTAAACGTAGTTTGGTGGATAAAAGATCTGCTTACTTGTGACATAAGCGTTTGAGACATATTTCTAAAGAAAGAATGCAAAGATTAATAAAGAATGAAATCCTTCCGGATTTAGATTTTACTGATTTGAATATATGTGTGGATTGTATTAAAGGCAAACAAACAAAACACACAAAGAAATGAGCCACAATAAGAACTCAACTTCTTGAAATCATACACACTGATATATGTTATCCATTTGACGCAAATTTTTTAATAAAGAGAAGTATTTCATCACTTTCATTGACGATTTCTCGCGGATATGTCTATTTACTATATGAGAAATCTCAAGCAGTAAATGACTTAGAAAGTTATATAAATGAAGTGGAGAGACAATTAGACAGAAATGTCAAAATTGTCAGGTCATATAGAGATTGTGAGTATTATGGAAGATATGATGAAAGTGGACAACACCCTGATCCGTTTGCTAAGTTCCTTGATAAGTGTGGTATTTGTGCTCAATACACAATGTCAGACACACCACAACAAAATGGTGTGTCTGAAAGACGTAATCGAATCTTAATGGATATGATTAGGAGTATGTTAAGTAATTCATGTTTATCTGTATTGTTGTGGATGTATGCTTTGAAGATTGTCATGTATTTGTTGAACAAGGTTTCTAGTAAAGCGGTTCAAAAGACTCCTTTTGAGTTATGGACAAGTAGGAAACCTAGTATGATACACCTACATGTTTGGGGTTGTCAGGCAGAAGTAAGAATTTATAATCTGCAAGAAAAACAGCTGGATGCAAGAACAATCACTAGTGGAAAAATAACATTCTATGACGAGTTTTTATCACGGTCGTAGTCCACCCGTCATAGTATGCAGCGCGGTGGCAATTTTGTAATTAAATCATAAACTTTCTATGTCGGGTAAATTTTTAACCGACATAAAAAGTACTTTCTATGTCGGTTGAAATTTAACCGACATAGAAAGTGTATATTAAATAAAAAAAATTAAATATATAAGTATATAAATATTTATATATCAAAATATATAAATATATTTGTATTTATATATTTTGTATATAAATATAATTTATTTGTAAGTTATGTATCGAAATTTGTAGTAGTTTAGTGGTTAAAGTATCGGTCTCCAACTCTAAGGTACTGGGTTCGAATCTTGTTAGACACAAATCTCTTAAACGAGATAATAAAATAATATATTATAAAGTATAATAAAAATATAATATGAATAAATAAATAAAAATCGTACTAGTGTAGTGGTTGGTCTAATTCTAGACTCTAATGTACTGGGTTCGAATCCTACCAGTGACAATTTTTGTAAAAAGTCCATTACTTTCTATGTCGGTTCATTACAACCGACATAAAAAGTCATACTTTCTATGACGGTTCATCACAACCGACGTAAAAAGTCATACTTTCTATGACCCCTGTATCTATGTCGCCTCTTTAACCGACGTAAAAAGCTCATTTTAACCGACATAAAAAGCCTTTTTTGCACTAGTGAATTAGTGGATATTTCATTGGTTATCCAGAAAAATCAAAAGGGTATATGTTTTACTGTCCTGCCCATAGTACAAGAATTGTTGAAACTGGAAATGCTCGGTTCATTGAAAATGGTGAAACCAGTGGGAGTGAAGCTTCACAAAATGTGGAGATTAAGGAAGTTAGAGTACAAGTCCCTGTAATTAGTACATCTTCTTCAAGAATTGTTGTTCCACATGTTGTAGAATCACACGACATTGCCAAAGGTTTTGCTCAGAAAAATGACATTGATTATAAGGAAACATTTTTACCTGTTTCTAAGAAAGATTCCTTTAGAATTATCATGATATTAGTATCTCATTATGATCTTGAGTTGCATCAAATGAATGTTAAAACTTCTTTTCTGAATGGAGATTTAGAGGAGGATGTTTATATGAATCAACCAGTGAGATTTATTGAAGAAGGAAAGGAACATATGGTGTGTAAACTTAAGAAATCAATATATGGACTTAAGTAAGCTTCTCGACAATAATATCTTAAGTTCAATGATACTATTATGTCCTTTGTATTTAAGGAAAATACTGTTGATCGGTGTATATATCTGAAGGTCAGTGGGAGCAAGTTTATATTTCTGATTCTGTATGTTGATGATATCTTGCTTGCGACTAATGATCTTAGTCTATTAAGTGAGACTAAGAAGTTTCTCTCTAACAACTTTGAAATGAAAGATATGGGTGAGATATACTATGTTATAGGAATAAAAATATTTCGTGATAGATCACAAGGACTGATAGGTTTGTCTCAGAAAGCATATATTAATAAAATTTTAGAGAGATTCAGAATGGAGAATTGTTCAGCATCTCCCGTTCCAAAACAGAAAGGAGACAAATTTAGTCTCATGCAATGTTCAAAGAATGACTTGGAACAAAAACAGATGGAAAATATCCCTTATGCATCTGTTGTTGGGAGTTTGATGTATGTTCAAACATGTATGAGGCCAGATATTAACTTTGCAGTTGGTATGCTGGGTAGATACCAGAGTAATCCTGGACTAGATCATTGGAAGGCTGCAAAGAAAGTTTTAAGATACTTACAAGGAATAAAGAATCACATGCTTACTTATAAGAAAGTTGATCACATTGAGGTGATTGGATATACAAATTCAGATTTTGCTGGTTGTATGAATACACGAAAGTCTACATTTAGTTATGTGTATATTTTAGCCGGAGGAGCGATTTCATGGAAAAGTGCAAAGCAGTTTATCATTGCTGCATCCACCATGGAAGCTGAATTTGTGGCATGCTTTGAGGTCAAAGTTCAAGCTAATTGGTTGCGGAAGTTTATTTCAGGACTTGGAGTAGTCGACAACATTGCCAAGCCGCTGAAAATTTATTGTGACAATTCCGCAACAGTCTTCTTTTCTAAGAACGACAAGTATTCCAAAGGTGTTAATCATATGGAATTGAAATACTTTGTTGTTAAAGAAGAAGTTCAGAAAATATGTGCATTATGTTGACTAGTAGTGAATGTTGAATGTTAATGTTATTATTAATGTTTATGTGACACTTTGATATCTTTAATGTATAAGTTTCTGAAATTTGTGTTTTCTTCTTTATTTATATGCATGCAAATTATGATGAAGAAAACAAATTATGTTATTATTATTAAAATGATATTATGTTTGAACTCATTATGGACTTCTCATTATAAAGTCATATTAAGGAGAAAAAGATAATATAGTAGTACATAGAAGGGAGTCTGTCGATTGAATGACATGTAACCGCTATGACTCTTGTTATAGCTGTATATTTAATTATGAACAATAATAAAACCAATTTATGTAAGATCCTTTAATGCACATTATGATTTAAGTATTAAATCACATAATCGTATGACATTACATGAGTCAAGTGGAAGAATGTTAAAATTAATTTAATTAATTCATTTCATTATGTGACTCATGTGAAATATAATGATAAATCCAAATGTGATTTAATAAAATATAAGGACCTATTGGTTATTACGTGAAGTTAGAATAAAATAAAGATAAAATAAAATATTAACTTATGGTAACCAACTTGATGAACGTTGGTTAATAAAATGAAATTAGGGTTACATCTCGATCATAAGGTTTTTCCACTGTAAACCATAAAAAAGCGTGAGAGAGAGAGAAAGAAAGATAAATAGATAGATTAGAAAAAGAAGATTGAAGAATAAAAAAATTAAAGAATAGATTCTCTTGGATGAAGATTAGTCTTAATACTATAATTCTTATATTAATGTATGTTATATTATGAAAATCAAGGATCTAAATATATAGAATAATTTTTTATAATAAATTAATAAGATAGTAAAACTACTTAATATATTTTACGGTTACTACCCGAATTTACAGAAACAGTTTTTCGTTGAATAAACTTGGACTAATAATTTCATATATTATTTTTTTAGATAAAGATATCCACTATAGGCAATACTTTAAGACATTAAAGACACATAAAAAAAAAAAAAATCAACAATGTATTATATGCGTTATATACATACACTATTCCCCTCAGGACAATGACTATCAAAATTTAAAAGCCTTTTTTGCCCAGAATAAATCATATATCTATGGTGTGTGCAATTTTTTAAAAGATCGCAATCTTGTTTGAGAATTTCACCACACAGTACAACAAATAGCGACGTCACACGTCAATTTACCAATTTTTAAATTAAACTTTACATTCATAGTAATTTAATTTGAATGTGATTTTGAATTTTCTCGTTTTCCACACAATTTGCTTCGTCACTGTGTATCTTTGCCAACGCACACACTCTCTCTATAAATATCTGGGGGTATTCTTCTTCTCTTACTGTGTTCCTTTCTAGTTCTTCTCTGTGCTCTACTCAAACTCACTTCCCCACGTATATACACAATGTCGGCTTACAAAGACCAGGATCCTCGTCTTCACGGCATCAAAACTAAGATTCGTGTCGTCCCAAATTTCCCCAAATCCGGTTCCTCTTCTACCTTTTTAATCCTTTCTTGCCTTTTGTTTTTATGTTGTTTGGACTACGAAACCAAACCACGTTGGATTCCCTGAGGTTTTGAATTCATATTTTGTTTCAGTTCTGTTTTTCAGTCCCTAAAGGCTTCTGGTTTTATTTTATTTCCCTTCTAATGGTTTCTTTGGTTGCAATGGCAGGTATTATGTTCCAAGACATCACTACACTGCTGCTGGATCCCAAAGCATTTAAGGACACTATCGATTTGTTCGTTGAGCGCTACAAAGGCAAAAACATTTCTGTGGTTGCAGGTAAACGAAAATGAGAAATTGTTCTATTTTTTTCAGCAAAAAGATGAAAACCTTTTTTTGTGGATTATGGGTGTTGTGTTAGTGCGTTTAGCTTGAAGAAGGTGGTGGGGTCCAGAGTGGTGAGAAATTTGGGGACAGTACGCAGTAATGGTGTGTCTACATTGTGGTTGTGCTTTTAAATGGTTTGAAGGAACATTATGGAATGAAAGTCACCGTGGGTTTTGGGAGTGATTTTCTGTTTGACTATGTGGGCTTAGTGGAAGAAATTGACATCTCCACTCTCTAATGCCTGCAAATTAATTAGATTTGAAAGAGATGAAAGGAATGGAAATCTGTGAGCATTTAATTCATTTCTACAGGAATGGTTTGGTTTTTTAGAGTGCTTGCTAAGAGACAAAACAGAGAAATACGTAATTTTTATAAATGATAGTATTTATTATATTATTTTTTACTTTATTTTTCATCGTCTCTCTGTTTTTTTTCTTTTTTTTTCTTTATATAACAAAGAAGACGCAACATCTAAGTTAAAGATATTTAATTAAAGAGATATATAAACAATTAAAAAGAAAAACTTAAAAAACGTACAAAAAATTATATAAAAATAAGTTCCCGTTCATTTTTATAAATAATATAAAATTTGTTTTTTAGTACTTTATTCTTTTCAATTATGTTTTATTAAATATATTATTTGAAAGTAAAAATAAATAAGATAATTATCATTCTTCCTCTCCCTATGTATATAATAATTTTCATTTATTAAAACCCAACCATAAAAAACTGTTTAGCAATTTCTTATAATTAAATTCTCCACTCAAACGAAACAAACACCATTCTTCATTCTAATAAGCATTTCTTCATTGTCAACAACCATTGCAGTCGTTCAGATTTATTGTTTTTTTTAAATGAGTGGTCAAGATTTCAAGGGATACCTACCCAATGGTTTTGATTATGTACCATTTCGAAGGAAAAAACACTAAATCCTGCGTAAAATATTTCTGAGCCCTACCTGTCAGAAATATCAGGTCTGAAGTCGGATCCAATAAGTTTTCATATCTTATCAGAGGTGAAACTTTTTTTTTTTTTTCCAAAAATCTTTTATATATAACTTATTAATTGTTCCCTCCTTTTATTGATATCGTAACCAACTGTGTTTTAGACAACAGTAACATAATTACGATTTGAATAGAATATTTATTGTAACAACGTGCCATTATTTGTTGTAAAAATAATAATGGTAAAACGTTAGAAGTACACAAGTTTATTAGTTATTGCATCACATGTTACTAAAAGTTGAGTTTAAATAGTCTTTTCTTTTGAAATATACTGTAATAACATGATCTGAATAATGTCAATGAATCGCTACCTATGCCTAACTGGTTAATAACAGAAAGTAAAAATTAATAAACCAAAATAGTGAATATTCTGAAAACTTAGAAGATAATAATCAATTAAAAAACAGAAGATTTAATTATTTAGAGAAGGAAGATAAAAGAATTGGAAATGGATAACTGAGAAGAAGGAAAAAAAACAAAACGACAGTGCCACGGAACTGTACCCATGCTTCCCATTCAACGCATACTCACATTGCAAATGAATGGGGGGTACTTTACTTTGAACCATTGATTACCATTCTGAAATCTAAACTCCTCTTGTTCGTGGACATATGCCTGGATCCAATTTGCATGGAGCACAACCACCATTGGTGATCGCTTCCAACTTGTGCAAAGGGGGACCCACATGAAGCATGTTTCAACTCACTCTTTCTTTTTTCCTCCATTTTACTATTTTCTTTCATTTGTGGGTTCCTCCATTTCACTTTTTTGTTAGTTACTTTTTTGCTCAACCCTGTGTCACTTTCCTGTTCCTTTCCTAGTTACTAAACCCTTGGTAAAACTTGAATGTCACGTATAGGTGCAAGTGAGGAACTGCCACTAGTTCTGTACTGTGCCACTGTGCGTCGTGTTTGGTTGTGTGGCTTTTGGACCCTGTGTGTGTTGCGTTGGTGCAGCTTTTTGCTGCTTTTAACTTTTCCCCCCGACAAGGCCAGATACGCAGGAGGGTTTAGTGTGATATGTTGCGGAAGACATGGTATGGAAAGCTATGAAACTGGAGCTATGATGTGTTGAGTTCTGTCTAATTTGGTATCTTGGATGGATGTTGTTGTAATGCATGCGGTTTTTTTGTGTTCGAACAAATATTAGATTGGAGGACCCATTTAACACTGTCCGATTTTCTGTACAGTTTAAGGGTAAATTGAAATCTAAATTGCTGGTAGGTCCTTAGCACCGGTTCTATGTATGATTAGAAAATGAAACACAATACAATCGGGATGGGTGTCAACTTGTCATTTTGCATGTGCATTAGGATTTGTCTTTGTGTGCTTATTTGGGTTTTTTTTTTTTTTCTTGCATCTGTGTGAATATATATATTTATATTTTGTGAGACATTCCCGGAAGCTTCAGGGTCCAGTATGAGATGTAGAATTTGTCCTTGTGTATAATAATTATCCCGTATTACCAATCGGCATTATTGTGGATTGGTAACTGTTTAAGATCCTTTGGCAACTGGCATCGTTGCATTTTAAATCTGTTGTTACTGTTTTGGACTTTTGGGTGTTTGCTTCTTTTTGAGAATAGGGTGATTCTGATGATGCACTCCACTATTATTTATTTTTTACTCAAATTCTTACATCCGTGGTGGTCACGTTCTCTATGCATTGTATATCATTTGTCCAATTCATTTTATTTAATGACATTATGTGAAGATGATGAAAGAAATTTCGGACAGAAATGGTCAACTTTTCTTATATTATTTGACCCTTTTGTATTTAGCAAGTAGTGTTACTAGCACACTATCACTGCTGTTCCTTGATGGTGTTGGACTATATGTCATCTGCAATAACATGTGCTATTGTCTATAATCTTGCGTTCTGATCAATAATTATGTTATGTAGGAATTGAAGCTCGAGGTTTTATTTTTGGTCCTCCCATTGCACTGGCTATAGGAGCGAAGTTTGTTCCATTGAGGAAACCAAAGAAGTTGCCTGGTATAATTTAGCACCTTTTTTTGGAAAAAAAAAAAAAAAACTTCCATTACTATGTTGTTCAATACTTAAATTTGTTGCTTCCTAATATACAACATTTTTCAAGCATTCCTCAATCGGTGTTTTCAGCTATTCATGTTTTTCACCAACCTAGGTTGCATACACGGATGTGCAGTATATTTAAATATTTGTTGAGATTGGATTTTGTTGCTTTTGTTTCAACTTTGCAAATGTATAGTTATGCAGTTTCTGTTATCTAAATATGTGATGCTCATCCTGATTAATATCCTAAGTATCATTATGATATTTTCCCACTTCAAAATTCATATTGATAAGTGATGAATGTGCAGTCTTTGAAAACAAATTATTTCGCCCTCCTATGCTGTTAGACCTTATAGCCTCTTCTTAATCACCCCTTTCATTCTGTAACTTTCTTCTTTTTAGATAACCCTAAATTGGAACAAATTTTTTGAGAAAGTGCTTCAATAAATTACTCTTGAAATACTAATTGTAGCATTCTCTGTCTTGATTAAGGTTTGGTTGATATTGTTCTCCTAACAACAGCTTACCCCAATGCCAGGAAAAGTAATTTCTCAAGAATATATCCTGGAATATGGAAGGGACTGTCTTGAGATGCATGTCGGAGCTGTTGAACCTGGTGAGCGTGCTTTAGTGGTTGATGATTTGATTGCAACGGGAGGAACACTCTGTGCAGCTATGGATTTGCTAGGTAGGTCTCTGGGCAAATCTTGTCATAAATGGACATTTATTATGTCATTGATGGACATTTATTTCCTCAGAATATGACATTGTTTTACATGTTTATGATCTGTTAATTTGTTCAACTGCATTATTGAAAGTTGGTCAGGCACCAACATCTTTTTCTGTAGTTCATTTGTTTCAAGTCTATCTTTTGTCAGCAGGGATTAGTTTCCCTGCAGCCGACTCCAATTTATCATTTTGACATGAAAGGAAAAACCTTAGTGTATTAAAGGTGTGTTTGGATTTCCGCTAGTAATCTTACAATGGACGTGGAACTCAACTCTTTCTCTCACACACTACCAATAAATCAAACACGCACTAAAACATGCAAATTTGGCTTAGTAGTGTGAATAAAGTTCACGATTCATGCCTTTACTCTTATCATTATAGTGTGTATATAGTGGTCGAATTCCATGTCTTTTAGATATGTCATTTGGCTTAGTAATGTACTCTTTTCACTGATTCAAGGGTTGATCTTTTACGGATAAGTAAATTCTACTGTTGTTCTTTTATTGAATATGAATACGTCAACAAGGGTTCTTATTAAACCACAGTGAAGTGTTTCTTTGGATCACGAATGCGTCCTTATCTGTATTTATTACATTTTAAACTGCACTTCTGCCAGCGTACCTTAGTTTTTAACATCTTTATTTCCCCACGTCAATGTCATTTTCGAATTTTGATTCTGTCTATATGTCTTTGCTGTCATTTAGAACGTGTGGGAGCAGAAGTAATGGAGTGTGCATGTGTAATTGAATTACCGGAACTAAAGGTATGTATACACACACTTCGGATTTTCTAAATATCTGGTTTGGGGATGGATCCTCTCAACTTCATGTCAAGTCATGTTCAAATCTTGTATCCTTATCTCTCCTAATAAATATCAGATAGGACTCACACACCTATAGGAGAGAGATGAGTCAACATTTGAACATGACCTTGTGACGTTACTGTTTTTCATAGACTACTAGTTGCTAGCTGCAAGCCTACTTTAGCATGGTGGGTTTGATTTCCATTTAATATTGTTTGGTTGCCTAGATAACGAAAATATCTTATGTTTTAATTGAAAACCGGTTCCTTATGGACTATGATTTGTCTTCTTTGTTATGGAAGTGTTTTGCAATTTTCATTCACCTAGAAGGAGGTTGTGGTTGTGTGTGGAGTGATGATGTGATTAATGATTGATTGGGAATCCGTGACAGGGTCGTGAGCGTTTGAACGGGAAGCCATTGTACGTGTTGGTGGAATATATGGAGATATGAAGTGGTGATGTGATGAGTATGGTTGGTTGGGGAAAAGAATATTAAGATGTAGATTTGGGAGATGACGTGTGTCTCTCAGTGGGTGCTTTCCCATTTGGATTCCATCCTAGCTTGTAGTAGGAACGAACGATCAAATCAAATCAAATTAATGCATTTCTGTGACCCACTCTTAGGGTCTCCCGTGTTCTCATATCTGCATCCCTTTTCAAATAAAATTATATCTTGGCCTATAAGACCATACTTGCACATATTTTGCCTCACCACAACTTGGATAAACTCCAGAGTAACCCATCCCATTCCTAGCTTTTTCATGTTTTCTTTTCATAACTAAACCTTTCAATATTTTATAACAGGCATGGCTAGAAAGTATATAACATACTCAGTCCAAAACCAGAGGGATTATTTGCTTGTAATTCCATACAAAGGGCAATGGATCTTGTGCAGTTTAGAAAACAACTGCACACGGTTTCATGAAAGTGTATCAGACTACTACCTTTTTTCTTTTGCGTGTACTTTGTTTCAATGGAAGGGGTGATTCCTCGTAATAATCAAAGCTGAAGAGGATTTCAGGACAACTTGGGAGTTTCTTCTCTCTTTAAAACAATAATGTTTACCCTAACTGCTTTTCAAAAAAATAGCTTTTTAAGGTTACGATATTCAGTAATAGAAATGTTGAACTCATAATTTAGTAAAAAAAAAGGGATTTTTCAACTTTTTTTTGTCTTTTTAATATGAATACTACTTTATTGATCTCTTAATTACATATACAGGGACATTGTTGAAAAAATGATTAAAAAAACAAAATTATAAATTGGCCAAAATAAAATAAAAAAATAAAGCCTTAGCTACGTTTTTAGGTCTTGTAGAATTAGCAAATTTTGATTTTAGTTTTCTAAGAAGATTCTTGATTTTTTATCCACGTAGAATTTAAGTCCCTATTTTTATTTCTCAACATTATAAATCCAAAATTGATTGTAACAATTATAATGAATGTAGTGCTTTGTGCAACATTACATATAACCACACATAAACCCTGTGATGTTTTTTTCTTATTTAAGAAGAAAAACTGCAAAAAAAAAATAAAAAAATTTACGAGTGATTTTGAGTACTTTTGAAATTTGTGTCAAAAGAGGTAAATTTGAAGAAAAAGTTATACATATTTGCAGGTCCTATCATACTCTATTTCTTTATACTGTATTTACAATTTTGGATCGAAAATATTTATATTTTTACAATGTAAAATTAAATAATAATAATAATAATAATATATTTTTAGAGTAAAATTTAAATTTAATTGAAGAGAAACTATACCTGGATGATAGTGGATGTAGCTCTCTCAACCCCCGTGAATGTGAAAATAATAACATTAAAAATAAATTATATACATATCTTTCTTGAAATTATACTAAATAACTCTCATATTCCTCTACTTCTAAAATATTGCTCACTCGTTATTCTTCTTGTTTGACATCTTTTATATTTTTAATAAATAGTTCTTAATAAAGTGATTCATTTCTTTTATTTATTTTAAAATATCATATAGAATAAAGTCTAAATGACAACTACAAAAATTGAAAAATAAAAATTTTAAATATAATAAAAAATTATGAAAAAAAAAGAATGGTTCCAGTATAGAACGAAGGAGGTTAGTGTAATAACTTTCTTAAAAATAACGATGGGATAAAATATGATTTATTTAAAAATAAGAAATATAAATATCTATTTAGAAATAAAAGATAATGAAAGTGTCACTTTATTAAAAACAAAAGAAGTGAACTTCTAATTTAAAATTAGAAAAAAGTGTAAAATAATTTAGTATTATGTTAAGAAAAGGAAGTATACTTTTATTTAATATGAATAATAATTGCATAAATAAGCAATCATAAAGTTTAGATTATATGTTAGAGTCCATATGTCACAAAATGAAGGTCATATTTATTTTTTTATTTTTTTTGGCAAATGTAAATAGTATATATGTACCTAACGAGAAGTTTGTGTTGGAAGATCCAAACAACAAAGTCATACAAGGTTATAAGTTGAGCCTATAGTCATACAAAGCTACAAGCTAAGCCTATAGCTAAGATCTAAGAAAACATAAAAAAGATACATCAAAGAGATATAAGGAAAAACTACATTCTAATCTCTAAGCTATTACATCAATATGAAGAAACAAGTGAAAGATAGTCTGATAGATCTGCCTCTTGATTTTCACAAGGATTTCATCCGTGTTGAACTCCTTTCCTTCAAATACTTTGATGTTCCGGTTCATCCAGATCAAATAAACAGTTGTTGTTAGTGCAATATGCTTGGCTTTTGCTTGAATTTCAGTTCCTTTAGCATTGTACTTAGCCACCTGAGCGCTGCTTTGAGGGAGTTATGACCTCTGTTGTCTCTCAGCCAATACAGAATATGCTTCCAGATTCTGTTTGTAATTTGACATTTGAAGAAAAGGTGTTTAATAGTCTCTATCTCTCGCTCGCATAAGAGACATGTGGGGTCCTGATCAATATAGGTCAATCTATCCTTTGTGAGTAGCTTGCCTCTAGCAGCAAGCCAAAGGATGAAACTGTGTCTAGGAACAAGATAGTTCTTCCAGACCATCTTCTCCCACCATATTGTTGGTTGCTTTGGTCTAAAGAAATTGTACGCCTTGGTAGTAATGAATTTGCCGTTGATAGCCCAATCTTCAATCTCAGTCTTGGCTGTCTCCAAAGAGCCAACTTCAGTGATAATTTCATCTCTGATTTTACAAATCCTCTTCATCAAGGGGGAAGCATCCCTAAGAGGAGAGAAGTCCCAGAAGCTGTCCCCATGAAAGTAATAATGATGGATCCACCTGATCCAAAGGGTCTCAGTACCTGCATGAAACTTTCAAATAATGTTAGATAAAAGACTTTTGTTCCAGCAGCTCCAGTTAAGAAGGCCCAATCCACCCTCACTCTTTGGAGTACAGGTAGACGTCCAGGCCACTAAAGGCTTCTTAGAACCACCCCAAAGGAAATTCCTACTCCAACCAATAATCTTGTGGAGAATAGAGGCAGAGATGTTTATAATTTTCATCCAGAAACATAGGGTGTCTTGAACAACTGAAGTCAGCAGTTGGAGCCCTGCATAAGATAAGTTATTGCTGCTCCAGCTTTTGATAGCTCCAGTAATCCTTTCAACTAGAGGTGAGAAGTGTGACACTTTTAGCCCCGTTGTTGTCAAAGGTATCCCAAGATACCTAAAAGGAAAAATACCATCATCAAACTGAGCTATGTCCCTGATTTCATGAGACACATATGCTGTCACGCCTGTCATGTAGAGTTGTGATTTCTCATTATTTGCATACAACCCAGAACATCTGTTGAAGTTATGAAAACACTTAAGAGTCTTCTCGACAGATAAAAAGTCCCCTCTTGAGCATAAGATAAGATCATCTGCAAAGATGAGATGATTTAACTTGACAGCAATACACTTGGGGTGTGGGTGATAATCCTTATCCCTCCATAAAGTCTTCATCAGTCGTGACAGATATTCCATGGAGATAACGAAGAGTAGTGGGGAGAGGGGATCTCCTTGCCTGAGCCCCCTCTTACCTTTGAAATAGCCATGCAATGTGCCATTTAAAGAGATGGAGTATGAGGTAGTCGTGACACACTCCTTTATGAGAAACACAAATTGCCAAGGGAAATTTAGCCCACTTAGAAGCTTGAGTAGGAAAGACCAGTTTATGGTATCAAAGGCCTTCCTGAGATCCACCTTTAGCAGGCATCTTGGAGAGACTCTCTTTCTAGCATAACCCTTGAGCAACTCTTATAGCAAAAAGATGTTCTCATTCATGCTCCTTCCAGGGACGAAAGCAACTTGGGCTGGATCGATCAAATCAGGGAGAACTTTGGAGAGCCTGCTAGCTAGGATCTTAGAAATAACTTTATAGATCACATTGCAGCAAGCAATGAGCCTAAAATCGGTAACCTCTGAAGCATGATTTTATTTGGGGACCATGACAAGAAGAGAGTGATTCACTTGTTTCAGGAGCCTGCCACTACTGTAGAATTCTTGGACAGCTTCTGTAACTTCTGTCCCAACAGTATCCCAGGAGGACTTGAAGAACTTGGACGAGTAGCCATCAGGCCTAGGCGCCTTGTGATCCGGGATGCTAAACATTGCATTCTTAACTTCATCTGCTGTGACAGCAACCAAGAGAGAGTCTCCTTGCTGTTGACTTAAAAGTTTGCCTTCTTGCAAAGTGGTGAGGGAGATATCCTGCACTTGAGACTCAGACCCTAATTCATATAAAAGGAGAGAAACTCAATAGCTACTTGATTGGGAGAGTTGGTCATATTGCCATCAGGCCCTTTGGAGAGTTGGGAGAGTTGGGAGAGTTGGACTATACGAATGGTTGGTCATGCCCTTTGGCCTAACCAATGCTCCGAGTACATTCATGCGGCTAATGCATCACGTGCTCCGGTCTTTTATAGGCAAGTTTGTAATGGTATACTTTGATGACATCTTAGTCTATAGCTTGTCTGAGGAAGAGCATGTGTATCATCTAAGAAGTGTACTTGAAACCCTTAGGAAAGAGACCTTGTATGCAAATAGGGAGAAATGCATTTTTGGCATGGATCATGTAGTCTTCCTAGGGTTTGTAGTGAGTTCAAAGGGAGTCCAAGTGGATGAAGAAAAAGTGGCAGCAATTAGAGATTGGCCAACTCCCACAAATGTGAGTGAAGTGAGGAGTTTTCATGGGTTGACTAGTTTCTATAGAAGATTTGTTAAAGATTTTAGTACAATTGCAGCCCCCTTGAATGAAATAGTGAAAAAGGTTGTGGGTTTTCAATGGGGCAAGGATCAAGAAAATGTTTTTCAAACACTTAAAGAAAAATTGATCAATGCACCACTCCTAGCCCTTCCAAACTTCACCAAGTCATTTGAGGTTGAGTGTGATGCTTCAAATATAGGCATTGGGGCAGTCTTGCTTCAGGAAGGCCAGCCCATAGCTTACTTCAGTGAGAAGC